ATAAGGCTGAGGGAAAGTACTAGTTAGTAACTAGTAAGACAATTAGTCTTAGTGACCGATAGAGCAAGCAATAGCAAACCTGCTCGAATGAAAGAGTAGAAATCGGTGAAGAAGAAAATAGAAAGTAGGCGAAAGACAACAACTATTTATACCGATTAGAAACTCTCAAGTACGGTCACAAGTTACATCATAACACAGCAAGATGATATCATAAATGAGATATGATGTAATGAGTATAAGATGAGAAACGAATAAGAAAAAGGATCAACTATGATATTAGATAACCCAAACAATAATAGAAGACTCTTATACTTCAATTAAATGCAACACCATGCCAAGGTTTCATCTCTATCTTGGGATGCATTCTCGCTTACATGAAGGACCAACTGGTGGTTTCCAACCCCAAACCTTCTCCCTCAGCTCAGCCCCAACCTATGGAAAGCAATGTTCATTCCTACTTGGGTACCAGCTGACTTTCAAAGCTCACTCCAACATAAAAGCAACTCCTACAACTCTATGCACACAGACGCCCCGCAATCTCATTACCCAAGGCCTTCACAGCAAGTAGAAGCCACACCCATAATTGATAAGGAAAACAAATCATCAGTCAATCTCTCCATGGATGGAAACATAACCTTAAATCTCAATGGAGCACCATCTATCATGGCTCCCTCAATGCTGGATCCAAAGGTGCTCCCTCAAACCCTGAGCTTTTGGTGGCTTTACAAGCTTCAACCCATTTGGACATCACATTTTCCTCACTCCAAACCCTCTGAACTGCTTCCAGCCAGGTATTCATTTCTGTAAACTAACAACTATTCCCAATAGGCACCCTTGCGTTTGGTCACTCCAGGGGTTCCGTAACCCTGTGGAAGCCAAAGGACAAGACTTCTTGGTTGATGATGGAAATTTCAGTATACAAAAATAGACTGGTGAATACAAAGCCATGCTCAGAATGTTCAGTATCAGGCACAAATCTACAGGTCCCCTAACAATTAGATTCAATACTTCTCTCCCACTGGCAAGGCCGCCACAGATACGGTACTGGTATTGTATCAGCAATACCAGCACCATACCTGGATGAAAGATACTACAAAATTCAGTATTTGGTATTGTATCTGGTCACTGGTACAATACCCAGAGCTGTAGCGGGGCTTCCAATACCTATGGAGACCTTTGGGGTGTACTGTATCTTGCTTCTCTGAGTGATACAGTATGATACTGGTATTGTCAAATATATCAACAATACAATACGGTATCACAGGAAACAAGGGACAATTTTCCCGCGGGAAAACCAATCGTATCTGACTCAGTTAATGAGCCAAAATGTATTATTTTGGTGTTATATCTGTGTTATTTGTACATTATGGCTCAGAAACTACATTGTGTGTAATCGGTCTTCCCGCGGGAAAATTATCTCTTGTTTCCTGTGTATTGTAACATGGGCACTAACGTACCTGAAGAATGGTTAATAGTGACCTATCTTTCAGCAATTAACACATTATCTCAAAAAAGCCATAGCAAAAGGGATGCAAAGCAGACAAAGACAAAGAGAGGACAGAGAGAATGAAAAAACTGGAAGGGACAATCATGGGGTACGGTTCTAGTACTGTACCTCACCCCGGGTACTGAAAGGTCAGGGTATCTAGTATTGTACCTGACCTTGGGTACAATAATAAATACCGTACCCTGACTGGCAATACCACTGAGCATTGTGTTGGGTCTTGTAGCCGGGCTACGGCTACAATAACCAAGGTGCAGTACACCTGTGACTGGATACGGTGCCATGCAATACCAATACTGGTATAATATCTGTGGCGCTCTTGCCACTGGTACCAGGCACCTCATTCACAGCCCCCAATCACAAGTCACTGCCAGGCCAGTGCACCCCAGGCACTTGGAAATGGCTTGAAAAGATTGCGATGATGTCATATGTCATCATAAATCTGTACAAAGCCTCTCCTGTATTTCTCCACCTAGAATATACAGTGTATCAACATTTGTCATGTAAAATGACTGCGTTATTGAGGATTGAAAAGAAATCAGGGATAAAAATACTAATTTTGTACTATACTTAAGACTTAAATCATGAGTATCTTCAAGCTTCATCAATATTCATATAGATTGAATGTGATATTCCTTCTTTCTCCACAATGTTCTCCCCTCCAGCCTTCCTCTATGGGAGATATTTCTATATGTAATTGTGACATCATCCCAATTTTAGTGGTATTACATATTTGTTTGGTGTCTGATCCATGTCATATTGATGGGAGACATCTATCACTTTGAAAACAAATTGAAATTATCTTGAAAATCTTGTAAAGTCACAGAGTGCACTGGCCAGCCAGTAACCAGTAGTTGGGGGCTGCTAGTCATAACTCTGGTCATCATACTACAATTTATTGCTGTTGGTGGGGGTCCTCTTTGATATCTACAGATTTTGATAAATCCTGCACAGCCGCTACAAGTCAAAGGATGCCACCTGTCTCTTGTAAGACCAGGTACTGCGATTTTTTGGGGGCAGCATTCTCCACTTCTTGAACACCAATCTCTGCAAACATTTGGCCCTTGGATTTATGGAATGATGGATCTGACCAAAGGATGGAACTATGGTCATGTGGACTCTGAATTGCTGATCTTCAAACTAACTTGCCAAGCCAACTTAGTCCCCAGAATGTCTTGAGGGCAACCACTGCTAGACCTTTAGGGTCTTGTGCCCATTCTGTGGAATTTTTCATGACACAAATGCAAATGCAATGATTGGATTCAGAGGACAACATGCAATATATGATGAAATGAGCTATTTTGTGCCCTTTTCCCCATCAGGTATTAGGTCAATGATACAACAGGAAACTGGAATGATCACTTTTGATGGTTATGATGCTTTGATGTCTATTGGTCAGCTATATTGGTATAGTTGTCAGTCCACAAGGTGTGTGCTTTTCTTATCTGTCATTGGATGTACAACAACTAGATAAAATTTTTTGCATATATTTTCTAGTCCATCTTTGGACTTAGCCTTGTTAGTTCTCATTTTGTTTCTTTTTCTTTCTTTTATGTTTTGCTTTCAAGCAATCACTTCTAGGTCTTTTTTTAAGCCTTGACCTGGTGTGGGGGAGGACCCAACACACAAGGACTGCTTGTCTGATCAAGGTATTGGCGGGCAGGGGTGGGTGGGTGCCCTGAGAAACTTTCTGATGTAGAAACCATGTGTTTATCTGGTTTCATGCTGTTTTTCTCCCAAGCCAATTTTCCTCTACTGCTTACTTATTTTTATCTCTCATTGGTCACTTAATCTAGGGCTGTAGGATGTTTCTTTTTGTAGGGTGGGTGGGGCAGTTTTTGTAATTGGAATACAGCCTTATTATGAAGTGTCTCTAGCTGGAATCTTTGAGATTCTTGAATTCAATCTTTGATATGTATGAGCAAGTTAGAGCATGCAAATTGTGATTGCTTAGTCCTTGTAGTTGACATACCATTAAGAGGCTTTTAACCAGCATGAGGAACCAGCTGAAGCACAATATGATACCTGTGGAATAATTATAGGGGTGTGTCTCTACATGTTATATTTTGTGCTGCACCAATGACATGATCTGCAGTACTCTTTTTGCATGTTGTGACAATACTTTGACTGACATTACAGATGATTTTCAATTCATTTGCACTACAAGAGCTGAATGGTCAACATTTTTGGAAAATTACAATGCATATCTAGTTACACAACACATCTGCACACCTTTGAGCAAGGATCTCATGATCTTTTGCACTTCTTGATGTAAAGGATCATGCAAAATTCAAGATATGATCCTATGATCTTGTTAACAGACAGTCACTGATGATACCTTGTCTACTGAGAATATAAATCACAATGTGAGGTACTAAATCAAGATATCCAATCACTAGGCACATCATATTGATCCTATAGTTGCTGCTACCAAGCCATTTGTAATTTTGGACAGGTATTAGTTGAGGCCCAAAATCTACACACACCCTCATTGAGGCCCCAAGGCTTTTTTTGGGAACCTCACATTGATGGATGGCTTCCTAGAAACAACTTTTTGTGAAGATTGGCCAGAAAAAAAATCAAATTTTTTGTAGCTTTTGTCAGTAGATCTGGAGGGCCAACATGTCATTATCATTGAATTCAAGTTTGGATTAGTATCATCTTTGAATACAAGCTCACTGGAAGATGATATTTCACTTGATTTAGACTTGATGTTATCAGAAAAGCTCAAATGCATATTTTGTGCGCTTTTTGAGGTGGTGTATCATGACAAAGGTAGCATTGAGCCCGCTGGGATTTAGACATAGGCATCAACAACGTACCACAGTACCACAAGCCACCCAAAACCAATCTAAACAAGACTTGAGCAAGAGCACCAAAGTCAAAGGAGTGCCAACACTGAAATGTTCACAATATGGCTGATATGGAATTTAGCCTGTGGGGCCAAAATCGATGCTCACAACTATGTGAGTGTTGTAGACTTTCCTGAAAACTCCAAAAAAGATTCATTTTGTTTCAAAATCATTCAATTCATGAGTTTGGTAGTGTTCAGGCAATCAGGCTGTTTTGCTCAGATTTTGCTTGGCGTTGCTGGAGAATGCTCATTTTCATCCTGGATGAGCATTCTTTGGGCTCACTCTCTGAGATGAGTATTCAGGATCCGCTCATGAGGCATACTCAGAACAGCTCAGAACCTCTCCAAGATGGAAACAAACTCATTTTTTTCACCACCCTTCCCAATACATGTCAGCACTACACCACAAATTTACTTTCATTCTTGAATTAGGTTGAAGAAAAATCAGACGCAATCACTGCAAACTCATTAGCAGCCAGAGCAGCAGCAGGTCAAACAGTCAGGTAAACTTATCATTCCTCTTCTTTTTCAAAATCACAAGAAAAATAGGTCGATGAATAGAATGATTGATGATGTTTGGTTGGTATTTCAAATAGACAAAGAACAGCTAATTTACCATCCAAGAATGATAAAGATTGACTGACTTCTACTAGAGCTGCTGGACATGGTGGAAGTAGTAATACGATGATGAGACTTTATACTCAAGATGATAACATTGGTTTGAAAGCGTGAGTCTTTCTTTCAATAACTTTTATCCGATTCAGTAACACTTTGTTGATGAAGTTTGGGTTCTTCCCTTTGGTAGTGAACCGGTGGTGGTTTTGGGTCTTTCAGTTGCTTTTGTTGCTTCGGTTGTTTGTCTTCATTTAGCTGGTAAATACATGAGATGGTTTATGAAATAAATTTTTAGATTTCTTTCTTCTCTTTTTCACATTTTCACTTCCAATTTGACAAAATCTGAATTTTCTTTGCATCAATTGGAGTGTTTCATTTCAATGGAGTTTTGAAATTAAAGAACACAGAAAAGCATCGAGTCATGGGGGTTTGAATTTATCTCCTATACTTCTTGTCTAAGGTTTATGCAAACAAAAATATCATTTCATAAAGTGTCATTTGAACATTTTCATTTGTTTAACAATGAATTCAGTATCATTTTTGAAAAGGAGTATCAAAAAGATTCTACAATCCTCTATGTCAGCAAAAAAATCTATCATATCTATAATCCAAGCATAATAAGAAAAAAACCTTCTACAATTCTTTAAATACAAGAAATACCGAAAAATAAAAAAAGAAACAATCCACAACCAATAAAGTTTTCATCTTAAGGATCAAATTTGATTAAAGGAAGTTTAAATCAAATGGTGTTTTGATATTTTCAGCAGGTATATATCCTACAGCCTGAGTTTTGAGGACTCGAATCAACCACCAATAGGAGTTTGAATCGTCCAGTAGTGTCAATTGGTACCCCTTAACCACCGAATTTGAAAACAATGGACAAAATATAATAAAAAACAAAATGTCAGAAGATGTGATGCTCCCGATGGTGCCTCATTGCTTCCTGCAAAGAAGCTAGATGTAGTGCACATGTACGGACGGTTTGACCATCCACGGTAGCCAGAAAGGTGTGAAGCGCGTAGACCAAGGTGAAGTCAATATTGTCAGAACTAGGAATCGACTTAATCCTTTCAATATTCCTCCTCTTCTCAATCGATTTCCTCACCGCACTATAATGTTCATCCAACAAACTGGCCTGATTGTTTAAAACTTCTTTCCCTGCTTTTGATTCCACCAAACACCATCCAAACCCATCTGCCAAAGTGACCAAAGAACCAATAGCCAAACCAGTTTCAGCAACACTCAAGTTTCTTAACCCATCTGCCAACTTATTTAACCCATTTGATAAACTTGGATGACATTCAGTAGTGGAAAAAGAAATGAATTTTGTGGAAAGGTCTTGATGAGCCGAAGATAAGGTTTGAGTCACTCTTGCTAAACTTTTGACTTTACTCACTACACTTCCTAATCGATCTTCTAATAATCTTAACTGTAATTTAGCATTCGATAACTCATCTTCTTCTACAATCGATACAATCATCTCTGGCTTGCCTGTGAACCCATTCACATTGTAGAAGATCTCTTCCGGTAGGTAAGCTTGAAGAAGTTGATGATTTATAATGAGATGATAATGGATTGAATGACCCGAACCCTCCGCTCGGATGACTCATCAGGTTTTGTTTTGATTGCGTTTGGGGTGTGTACCCGAAATTGGATTCTAGAAAGATTTGTAGCTCGTCATCGGTTCGTAAGGATTGGTCTTGTAGTAATCTATCAAAGAATTGTTGAAAGGCTGAGGCTACTAATCTATCATTGTCTGCTGGATTAGGTGCTGATGTACTATTTTCATCAAAATCCAAAATCAAAACCAATCCAAAAATTCAGTTTCAGTTTCTTTTTCAGTTTCTTTTCTTTTTGTTTCAAGTTTTTTTTGTTGGTTTTTTGGATTTTTTTTGAAGAGAATTTAATAACTTAACTTTGGAAATGGAATAGGTGGTACAATCGTATGAGGATTATTAGCTGAAATCGAATCATAAAATAATAAAAATTCACAATAAGATCTTGGGATATCAGAACAATGACCTGATCAATTTGTAATTAAATTTCTAAAAAAATCCAAACCCACACAAAAAAAACAATATCAAATTAGTTTCTTTGTTGTTTGCAATTGGTTTTTTTTGGATGAGAGGTTTACCCATGCATCAAATTTGATGTATAGATCACGACGGTTTCTTTCGACCTTAGAAACACAAATTCTAGTACTTGGTTCTTTTGATTTGGTTTGAGTTTGGTTTGAAGTTGAAGATGAGTTTGGGTTTGGATTAGAAGAAGAAGTTAAAGATTGATCAATCAAAGAAGGTCGACGATGTTTTTCTCTAGTAGGACTATGAGGTTCTCTACTGAGTTGAGAAGTAGAATGAAATCTTTGAGAAGTAGCCGAAGTAGGACTCAAGCTAGAATGAGGTTGATGATAGAGTGATCGGTTTGAGATTTGATGATTTGATGGTGATAGTGATGGTGGTGACTTTGATCGATTTGGCCATATGATAGATTGGGATTGAGATTGAGATGGTGGATTGATTGAGTTTGGTTTTGAGAATGGTGAAGTAGGCCAGTTTTGATTACAATTTAGATGAGTTGGAGTGATATGATGATGATGACTAACTAAGACTGATAGATGTGGTTGTGGTTGTGGGTGTGGTTGTGTTTGATTGAATGAGTTACTGTTTAATGGATCCATCCTTCAAATCAAATCAAAATCAAAGTAGTGGTAGTGGTAGTGGCAGTGCTGCTGCCTTTGTTGCCTTTGCTGAATGAGTTGCTGTTGTTGTTGATGTTGGAGAGCACTATGAGGATCCGTCATATACAACTCATCATCTTCATCCGCGTGATCATCATCAGAATGAGAATTCTGTCCAAGATTGACTGATTGCGTAACTTGAGAAGCAACTGAAGTATAATGTTGGTTTCCTGCATAATAATATTGCGGTTCGTGGTCATTGGATTGGATAGGTTTCTGAGAAGTTGTAGATGCCATTGAATCAAGCGTAAAGAAAGTTTATTGTGTCAAGATGTCGCAAATCAGGATGTGATGTTGTAAAGCTTCTACGCTCAAGTGACCCGGGTCCTCAAGTTCACTTGATTTGCAAACGCTAGTTGATGTTGTTCTGCTTTGAGCTTCAGCACTTCAGATGTCTAGTTGAGCAAATAAAGAGGCAAGTGTTGATGAGTATGTCAAACCCTTTCACCAATCTGGGGGTCCAAAGCATTCTACGAGCGCAGTATATCAAGGATAGAAGAAAGATAAGATCACATACCCCGTTCAGGCCAGTGATGACCTCCATTGCCAATTGTTCACCAAATTTTTTCCCCGGTCTTCTTTCACTCTGTTTGACCATCCAAAGAATCCCTTTCCTGAGTCTCTGACGTTCCTGCAGAGCGACAGGAACAGTAGTAACCTTGATCCTCTTCTGTTCAGTACGTGTCAAGACCATTGCACTAGCCAGTTCTACAGCCTTGGTCAGGAGTGTAGGAGGTTCTTGGTTGGTAATCAATCAAAGATGAGATAATAAGATCACACAAGGTTTTTGAGCAATCGTTCGTTGTCCTTTACACATCAAGAGTCCAGTGATATAGCTAAGTAAAGGATGTTCTAACAGTGGTACGCTCACTGGCGGATCTCGGAATGACATTAATGCGGTGACATCTTCAGGGGGTGGAAAAGGGGGTGGTGGTCCGTATACTGGTAATAGACGTGCTCTTGGATGTCGGCCTAGTGTTGATGAAGTATTTTGAATACATTCTGGAAATTAAACAAAAATACAGTGTGTTTCTCAGATGCTTATTCGAATAAGATATTTTCCTCTAGTTCATAGACCCACCCAAAGAATTAGTATGAAATTGTTTGCATGTGACATGTTTAGTGGCAATCAATTGAGGTAAACTTGATCGGGGTAGTTTTCGTAGGGATTTGGTCGAAAGTGTTGTGATAGGCTTCAGACAAGACGTAAAGGAGAAGGACATGTTGATGAAGTTGAAGTTGAAGTTGAATGGCTTGAGCCGATGAAAATGAAATCTTTCTTTCGAGTTGATTTCAGTCAGGATCAGTCCCGAGCTTGAAAGTTTCTGACAGGTTGTACCGAGGTAGCCCAAGCTGAGTAAAACCCAACACGGGGCTAGCTTGACAAAAGCCCAGCCAGCCACAGGTGTCCCCCGGATTATCAGGCGTCAAGGGATGCCGCTGAGGATGAGCTGAGGGGCTTAGATGAAGTGAGCAGATGGGCCAGCCCTCCCTCAGGCTTCTTTGCTAAGGAATGTTTCCTGAGGGAGGCCTGACTCATCTCCTCAGTTTCTGTTAATCACATAATGAGCTGACAAGCAGAAAGAAAAGGGAAACAAATGGGAAACAAATGGGAACAAAACAGGAAAATTTCAACGCTCACATAGTTGTGAGCATCAATTTTTGCCCCTGTGCATGATCATCATCAAGTACAGTTCACATAAAAAATTACAAGAGGCTTAATGGCAGCAACATGCCAATTTAAGCCGCTCAGAGTATCAGCTGCACAGATCTTGAGCAATTGCAGGTGCAACACAACTGTTGTGCAACACAATGTCATTGTGAATGCTCCTCAAGAAAGAAGTATAATTATGAGGAGAAACTCCTCTGCTATAGTCAGATCCCATGAAAAGGTGGCTGTAAATACTTTGATATCATAGAGACATGCATGTTATACAAACAACAATACGAAATTGAGAGTTAAAGCGGAATCTGAAGATGTGAGTGACATTTATGGAAGGCCATGTGAGGGCACTGGACCTATCGACCCATGCTGATGATATGAGCTCACTTCCTTCCCGGCGCAACGCATGTGTCACCGGCTTGGCGGGGAGTAAGAACCACAAGTTGACAAAACCAAAAGACTTTGAATTTGAAGGCTCACATCGTTAATTAGACCGGTTAACTAGCGAGCTGAATCCGTGTACTTTGTGTCGCTAGTGGCATGATTGGCATTTGAGCCTAAGGATAAATTCCGAGAACCCTTAAGCGTCAAATGATCCGCCTTCCTCTCTCTCATGATCGAGGCGACGAGGGAATAGAATACCACTTGTATCAAGAATTATCCGATGTTGCCTGAGTAAACGCGTGCCTGGCTGAGCAGAGACTGATGATTCGAGGTTCGAAAGCTTTTGAATGTTTGGCTCTTGAACCACAAATTGGTGACGTGGATTATTTTGATCCTTTTCGATATAAACCCGAAAATCTATGAGGAAGAGGGTGGATTTTGTGTGCTGCTTACGCCTTCCTGCCAGATACGATGGTGTTTTGATTGAATTTGAGACTCAGAGCATCTTTGAAGAAATTTGATAAACTCGGAATTCCAACTTGAGGTTGCCTTGAAATGTTATTCTGATCGCAAGAGATGTCACTAGGCTATCACAGTAGTGCTTCATTTCACACTCTTGGCATTCATCTCGAATAGCAAATCAACATTGACACCATCACCATTACCATTACCATCACCATCAACTACAATATCAGACAACATCAACATCAATTTGATCATATCTTTCAATCGCCCAAACGGGTTAGATTAGACAGTCTCTCAAAGTCATCAAACGTGTTCAGTAAGCGAAGATGTTACGCAACTATCAAACAAAAGCAATGTTTTCAGATCCTACTGCAGATGTTGGTGTTGATCTTGTCTCATTATCATAGAAGTGATGCTGATGTCATTTCCTATTTTGACAGTCCATATTTCGGAATGTTTTTGGATTACCAGATGATCAACATCCGTTGGTCGAGATCAACGCAGTCTTCAGTTTACAATCAAAACCAGATGTCTATGTATGTCCATCTAAGATAATATTCTCAACTCAACTCAGATACTTATGTCCATTTTTGACTTGTTGGTCTAGCCAGGAAAACTTTCATTAACAGCCAATTACTTGACATTTGTTTCTGTCGACCGACGTACTTGTCGATTCTCTTTACCATTGGCCACCATAAGAAGAGTAGAGCGTCTTTCCAATGGACAAATTAATGGATTTGGGTCTGGAGTCTTTGCTCTCTCTCTAGTCGTCTGGCATGATGAGATGAAATTCGTTAGTGATCTTCCATACATCAATTCACACCCATAAATGCATTACTAATCTCGTTTCGCCTTTATTCCTTGAGTTATTCTAGATTGTACAACTCAATGGACTAAGACCAAGTTGTGAAACATTCTGCGGAATTCTTAGAACTCAATTAAAACTAGCGATTCCAGAGATGAAAAACTTAAAATCATTTGTATCAACATTTTATACTGAACATTTATTATCTTCAAATTCAGAAGAAGATGGTAAATTTTCTACTGGTGATGGAATTGGAAATGGTTATCATGCAGGATTAGGTGCTATTTATAAGTATCCTGGTGATGCACGAAAATTGAGGGAAAAGAGTAAAGTTAAACTCTGGAAAGAGTACCTCACGCGTATGTATACTTTTGCTTCTATCCTACTACACAAGCAAAGAGTTAACGTTCATTGTATCTCTTGGTAGAAAATGGTCGAAATTTGACTCTCATCAAATTGCCAACCTTTATTCGTTTGTTCCAAGTTGGATTACCCAACAAACTTCGTGGCGAAATGTGGGAAGTAGCCACCGGATCAATATACCTAAGAATGAAACAATGTGGCGAATATGAACGAATATTGAATGATATTCAGTTAAACAAAAAGAGCAAGCTTAACTTTAGCTTAGATGAAATTGAGAAAGACCTTAATCGAAGTCTTCCTGAATATCCTGCTTATCAAAATGAAAAAGGTATTGACACTTTAAGAAATGTTTTATCAGCTTATGCGTGGAAGAATCCAAGACTTGGATACTGTCAAGCCATGAATGTAAGTTTTGTTTATATAACTACTCTTTACTCTATACAACAAAATTGATTTGGTTTCTCTGTTGAGATATGGTAGATCGTGGTAGCAGCTTTGTTGATCTACACAAGCGAAGAACAATGCTTCTACTTGCTCTCAATCTTATGTGATCAAATCCTACCCTCCTATTACACACCAACTATGGCAGGCACTATACTCGATCAAAAAGTATTCGAACATCTAGCTGAAAAGACTTTACCGATGCTTTCGCAGTACTTCAAATCCAAAGAAATCCAATTAAGTCTGGCTAGTCTGCCATGGTTTTTATCATTGTATCTTGCTTCCATGCCATTGGTATTTGCATTCAGGATAGTGGACTGCGTATTGTTATTTGGTCCTAGGGTTCGTGTTACCAAATTTGATAACTCTCTTGACTCCATAACATGCTTATATTCACATTGTTTGTAATTTCCGATACCACAGGTGTTGTTTCAAATCGGGTAAGTTCCCACTTACAAATCATTCGAAGTCAGGGACATTTTGCTTAGCTTTTGTATGCATAAATCAAAAAAACAACCTCTACTCACCAATTCTTCAACTCGCAGTTTGTGTAAGGCACTTTTTGCATTTCGTTTGAGCAGCTTGCTAGTCTTAACTGACGTTACTTTACTGATATCCGAACTTGATCAGCGATCTTGAAGATCAATGGTCCCAAACTGCTCAAAATCACAGATGACGGAGGACTTATCAGGTAAATTGATTCTTTGAGCGTACGCGAGACTTTCAGCAGCTGATTGTAAGTATCAATTCGCCACAGCACGATCCGAGCCTACTTCGCCTCATTAGGTGACTCGGCATATCCTTCTTCCCCGGTGAACTCAAAAGAACACGCAATTACCCACTTTCAGATCTTACTTGTAACAGCCTTTCGTGAATTTGGTAACATCATCACAGATGACTCTATTCAAGCAATCCGTAAGAAATATCGCAATGAAGTAGTACATTCGATTGAGAATTTCTCCAAGCGCACTAGTCTACGTAATTTGAAGGACGGGGGACGACTGTCGACTGAAGAGTTGGGAAAGATATACGATCATTATCAATTGGCAATTTACAAGTGTCAAGCCAAACTTTCTACAGGAAATGATGCTAATCCCAATGGGGTAGGAGCTGGCGATGGTCTTGCTAGCTTTTGGGAAAACGATGAAATTGACGGCAAGCTTGAACAGAGGATCACCCGAGCCACGTTTGGTATTTTTTTGGCTGATGTAGCGAGTTGGGCTCGAGATGAGACCCTAGTCAAATCGGTGGGATTTTTGGAAAGAGTTGAAAGAGTCGCAGTTGACCACGAGTTGATTGATAGGTTTGTGCTCATCTGATTCATAACAATAGACTCTTGAGCTCAATGGGTTATCCTCAGGTTGTTTTTTGATTGGGACAAATCACGAAAAGGTTCTTTGTCGTTACAAGACGTCGTACACGGTATGGATCAACACTTGAACAATGATCTCATGGCGAATATTCAAGTATTTTTTGCTCTTCATGATAATGACAAGGATGGATCTTTGAGTAAAGATGAGGTTCTACAGGTTTGCTTTTTTTAAACGTGTCATCCGGACTGTGCATATCACTGATACCGTTCTTTGAAGCTCTCTGAGTCTCTTTTGTTCATTTTTAGAAATGAGCCTGGTGATCAATATCTCGCTGGTAAGTGGGTTTCCGACGAGATCACCGGGGTACAGTTTTACTTCATGTGTGCTGACCAATGATTTCTATAATGCTTCAGCTGTGTCAAAGTTGATGCAAAATGCATTTGAGTACGCTGATGCCCTTCAAGCAGACGGAAAGGGAAGTTATCAGGTCGACGAGAAAGCCGCCGAGAAAGAAAAACCAGCTACAGAAGTTGAGCTGAACGAAAAGACTTCCGCTCCGACCACAACTGAGGATGCGAATGACCAATCAAAGATCTCTAATCCACATCGACCCTATTTAAGCTTGGCTACATTTCGAATGTGTGTATTGGCAGACGAATTACTAGAATCATTTTTCGAAACCGATTTCACCAATTCCTGGAAACTTACCTCCGACTTGGCCGTCACACCGACCTCATCTACTTTGATTAAGAATTCCAATATACTTACCGATCTAGTACCAGAATCTATCAATCAAAAAGCCGATGAATTCTTCAGTGGTCTCAAAAATCGATTCTTAACTGAAGACAATAAACATATGTTTTATAAATTTGCTGATGAGGTTGGAAAGAAGCTTGATATTCCTAAAGTGGATCAAAAGTTACCATCGATTGGAAAATTGGACAACGCGAGTCTCATGACACCTATCAGAGATCGTGAGAGTATCTTACCAACAAATATGATTTCGAACTTTTTTGGAGGTGGAAAGACTGGACAACCATCGACCAGTTCACCTTCCTCACCTGCTATTCGTACTAAGGATTTAGGAAGTACTGGGGATCATGATAGTCACGTACCACCTTCACCTTTATCACATGCAGCTATGAGATCACCACCAGTGGAATTACGAACTCAACAACCTCAAGCAGATCATCAAGAAAGTAATTCGAGTAGTGGTATACATGAAGAGAATCGTATGAAAAGACAATCTGTCCTACCACCACCACCACCTTTAATCCAAAGAGCACAATCTATGTTAGTAGATAGACCACAATTTGAAATAGATAATCCAGTAGAAGAAGAAGAAATTGAAGATGATGAATTGATTCCAGAAAGTTCAGAATTAAGTGAAATCAACAGTACTAATAAAAATAGTCAAAATGAAAAGAAATCAAACAAAGAAGTTCAAGATGAAGAAGAAGATTTGATGGCTGAAGTGGATCAGTTTTTGGCTAATGGTGATGAAGAAGTAGATCTCAATAATCTTAATGATGATGATGATGGATTGAATGATGATGATCGTGAACTTGAAGAAGCTCAAAAATTGATTTCTTAAAACCAATCTTTGTTTTCTTCATTTTTTTCTTTTCATTTGACTTCATTTTATCAACAAAACATTGATAGCATACATTTCATTTTTTTCACATTGTCACTACATCCTTATCTCTCGTGTGAATGTATAATATAAGTTTTGTTTTGTTTTTGTTTCTTCCTTCTTTAAGGGCCTTATCCCATCGTTTTGTTTGATTAATGTAATTATGCTTTTTTTGCTGGGTTTTGATGATTGAAGATCAACAGTTCCTGAGAACCTTTTAAAGGAATCAGATTAATCATCGCTTGTGTACTTCCCATAACAAAGCCATGCACCCAAAGTCACAACAGCACCTGTATAATTCCATGAAAATATGGGATGAGTGACAAACATGGTAGGCCTGGTATGTACCCAGTCAAAGCCAATGAAGAATGTGGATCCTTGCTTCACTAGTACATAAAATGATCAGTGTGTCAACAGTTAAACTTGGAAGCTGGCACCCAGACATTCCCACACAAGGTCCACCCTCAGCTTACTGAGACTTGAGCAGGCTGAGCATGGAACACCAATGAATTGCCATTCACAAAAAACATTTTTTGGATCAGTCATGGACCAATGTTTCAATAAAATCATAATCCGTAAGACTTTGAAGTTAAGCCAAATAATAATTTTTCTGTAATTCAAATGCAATGAGTTCTAACTTGTTTAAATGTTGTGTATCTTGAATACAATTGTGTATCTAGAAAGCCTTATCTCATGCAGATTGAAAGGAGATGTGCTGTGACTTGTTTATGTTATTGGGTATCACCTGGTTATTTTGAATGGGGTATCTGGTGTCTGAAAACCCTTATCTTGTCAATCATGATGAAGCAATGCATCAAGAGACAAAAATAACCCTAGTAGAAAAATTTGGGAAGACAGGTTTCAAAAGATCTCTGCAGGAAAGGCTGGCCACAATGTAAAAGACTCCATCTCTTCCACTAAAAAAGGATAAATAATTGTGTTCAGCTTGATTCCCACTTGATATCTTTATATTATTCACAATTTGAATCAGCTTGTGCTCTATTCAATATGTTGACAAAACTTTTATGGACTTTATTTCACATATCAATGGTTTTTTCAAGACTGGCTGATCTGTTATTAGATGTTGGCCAACATCGCCCAGGTGACTTTTGAGACGCAATCAGAAATCACATGTGGTTCAGTAACTTATTCTGGAATCTAGCGATATATACAGCAGAATCCAAGATTGCTGTTGACAGCTTCTATGAGAATGTTGTAGACGGAGTGCAATGTGATCCTGAAGCTCTGTACAATCTCATTTCTGAAGATGCATCTATAGATTGGAATGGTACACCAACTGGTGTCATGGGTGAGGTTTTCTAGATTGTAAAGAACATGATAAAATAACCCAAGTGAGGACCAAACTAATGATATAATCATTGCACTTGTTAAACATCAATACTCATTTGATAGTATTTGTTCATTGTGCTGCCCAAAGAATCTTCAAAGCCCCAAACGCTCACATACTTGAAAAAAGTAAGCCCAAAATATATAATTTGGATGACATCAAAATCATTGAAGAGTGTTTTTAATATTGATTTTACTAACATAGCTGAGTATGAGATAATGGAATATCTTTTTGTCAGATGGAAAGGTGGTGAATATGACCTTAGTATTCTTTTTGACAAGAACAAAATGAGGATTCAAAATGTGGTCTTCAAAAAAGTCATTGATTTCTGCACATAAACCTTTATGAATACTTCATGACAGTTGGGACAAATGGAATATGTTGTGGTAAACATTAATTCAATTTGAATATGAATGGTACTACAAAAATCGTTTTCAGAGCAAGTTGTAGGGTGGAACACAAGCTACAGGACAGCATACTCTAAGGTCCTGTGGCTGTCCTCAGTAATGGTTGTTTTAGAGAATCTTTCTTGGAATATAATTCAAAATGGGATCTTTTCTCTCTGTAACATATGTTGATCTAAGATTTGAAGGATAAGGAGGCCAAATTGATATTATATGTGACAAGATGACTTGAATAAAACCATACATGTGTGTTCTGATTTTGGGTAGGCTCAGTTTGAGTTGGGTCAAGTAGATACCTCAATGCTCACCTGAATCCAGATGAGTCACATAAGTGTGTGGTGAGGAGAAGTTTGTTTTAATTGGAGCCCTTTTTCATCAAGTATGTGTTAGCATCAAGAGAAGAGTGGGGATGTGACAGTCTGACAAAGAGAAAAAAAGGCAAAAAGAAGAAAAGATGATGTGCACAAATATATTGACTGAAGAAAAGTTTATTTGGCAAGCATCATGATCAATGTTATAGAGGGTAATTGATGGTCTGACCAAGGAAAACAAGAAACAAATGGATAAAAGAGGCAGGAAACACACAAAAATGATGGACCAGATGGGCAGAGGGAGTAGTAAATCACCTGGAAGTCCTTTAAGGTTGATAGGCAATACCAATGCATACACTCACTATGGCAGAAGTAAAGCCTTCATTCAATTGCCCAGGAAATAGATAAACCAAAAAAGTCCCACTCATTATGAGCTGCAATGTCAAGCTCAAGAAAGGGACAAACATATCAGGTCAAACAAAACCAGGAAAGCTGTTAAGGCTTCTTGCCCAAATTGCCTTATGAATCATTTTTTTTACAATTTCAACTTTCTCTGGCCAAAAAGAAAAATCATTTTGCCTTACTTTTTGCTACAACCTAACATGTGTGTACCATAAAATGAATTGTTTTGGAAATAAACAGGAAACTTGGTGTTTAAGTTGTACACTGAATTTCAACTTTAAGACATGGAGCAGTCCAAATTACTTGATTTTCAACTTTGAACCCTGAAAGACTTTTATATATCTACTATAATAATAAATCAAAAGGTCCTTCGTTTAAAAAAAATGCCTCGACACTCTCATAATATTGTTGCCTCCTGAAGCCCACCTATTACCCTGATGCGCCACCTTGGCTATGCCCACCCGCGCCTTTACTACGTGCCCAAGAACAAGCTCCTTGCCATGCAATCTATTTCTATTGCACCGCAGCATTACTCAATCTGCGCTCTGCTCTATGGCACTCTGAATCATACCACTCTAATGCTTCAATTCAGTGTCACGTTAGAAAAACGGCTTCAACACTTGTTCTCCCCAGAGTTTCTCAAGTTCCTTATGTTCCGAGCACGCAAACGTTGCACCCACTGTATCACCCCATATACAACGAGCTCAATCAACACGACTTTGAGATGGAAGTCTGGGTAAACACTACCTAAACATATTTTCATAACAACTTAGCACTCATGAATCAGCATGCCATGCGGTTACATTCGCTATTCTATTCTTCTTCACTATCCAACACAAAATCTAATAAACCGCAAAAGAAAACACACTGTCCCACTAGCATTACACAGAGCTACGCTATACGCATTCAAAAAACAAACAACTACCAATCACCACCGTAATAACTATCGAATGCTCCAGCGTCCTCCGTCTGATCGACGACAATCGTATAACAGCAGCCGAGTACATATCTCCATGTCGTTCATGAAAGTACCGAGATCAATTCGTTCCCTTCAATTCGAGAAAGAAGCTCGACGCTTGCGTACTTGCGTCGGGGGAATGACGGTCGCTTCTACATTGGCACCTCGAAGCTACTCAAAGTCAGTACAGGCCCTTAGCGTAACTAGACGAAGCTTACTTCTACAACCCAATTCCGACTACGATGGACATATCCAATGACTACACCTCGCAAGTTGACAATATTTCCGACAGTAAACACCGCTTCCCCAAGTCTCGTTACCAATTCTGCCGTCGCTTCATACGCAACAGTGAAATGTGCAGCACGCCCTAACTAAAACTCCGTTAGTATCAGAATGTCAGAACAATACGAAAGCCTCTTACACTTTCGTCCCACAGGTTGTGGAGTGCGATGATTATCCATCAATCGTAATCGCCCTCCGGAACGGTACATCGACTCATACGCACAACATGACCTCGACTTTGTACCGATAAGATTGAAAGTGGCGCCGGAAGTTGAGACGCGTAACTACTTAGCTCTACCACCGATTCAGGCCTCACCATGATAATCGTATCGCGTTGCCGACTCCGTGCAAGAATTTCCCCAGTTAACCAAACGCAACGTCCAGCCGCAACCAAAGGAGCACTCTGTTGTGCATGCACGAAAACCATTGAATGGGTACGTCTATTCACTCGAAGGAAAATAGGACTTTGATAGCACAGTCGAGTCCCTGGGCCACTGCACTGTCGAGGAACCTGACACTACACAAAATATAATATTTTCTGGGCAGAAAATTAAATTATTGATACACAAAAATATTGAGAGGCCAGGAGAAGGGCAAAAAATAAATAAAAATATGCATCTTGTTCCCTGCCGTGAGAGCTTCACTCTCCATATTTTTCCATATTTTCACAGTCCGTATTGATAAGTGTACCAACAATAAACCTTCATAATCATCCAATTACAGCCTGTAACAAGCACTGAAATTTGGCTCATTAGTGTCTAGAGAAACTTTTGATTTCTGAAAACACCTATAACTTTGTCAAATCTGCCTCAAAACACTCGATTTTAAGTGCATTAGAAAGCTGAACTCTTCCTCTCAAACTTTCATAGGATCAAGAACTATGTAGCTAGTATGACAATCATTCTATGGATCTGTATGAGGACCCTGGAATACACCCATGGAGGGTACTGACGAAAAAACCGACCTTTTGTTGACGTAGTTTTTCGATACTAAACTGCACTCTATCAAGACCTACAGGAGCACAAAAGATGCACCAGAATGAAGGCTTTCAAATGCACTAGCTCGCAGCCTGGTAACACCAATATTACCTAAGATATATCAATGTAACGCCCAAAAAAGGGCCAAAAATCGAGGGTCGGTTTTTGGCCTTGGAGGTCGAAAAAAAAATTGCGCCATCGCGATTTACGCCGCCGTGAGACATGATGCCGGGCTCTGTCTGGTCTCATCTGATAGCCCTACTCCATGCGCATCTTTTGAAGTGCTCTGCAGCTTCATAGAGGCACTGGTGCGTAGTGTAGAGGCAAAAAACTGAAAATCATGCTCCGTCAGTACCCTCCATGGGTGTATTCCAGGGTCCATCTGTATGTACAAATGTATAAAAAAGATGATATCTTTTTTAGCAGACCAGCATGCTGTGTGGTCCTATTATGAACTATTTGGAGGACAATTCCAGCTTACCAATGCACCCAAAATTGAGCGTTTTGGACCGGAATTGAAAAATTATGAGTATTTTCAGAAATCAAAAGTTTCTCTAAACACCAATGAGCCAAATTTCAGTGCTTGTTACAGGTTGTAATTGGATGATTGTGAAGGTTTATTGTTAGTACACTTATCAATATGGACTGTAAAAATACGCAAAAATATGCAGAGTGAAGTTCTCAACGCAGGGAACAAGATGCATATTTTTATTCATTTTTTGCTCTCCTCCTGGCCTCTCAATATTTTTGTGTATCAATAATTTAATTTTCTGCCCAGAAAATATTATCTTTCTTGTAGTGTGAAGACGCCGAACTATCAGCAACATCACTTTTACGTTGTTTTCACACACCTCTGAATCCAGCCTGAAAACTCCACTCCAAGTTACTGTTAGACGGGAATCATTGTTGTTTGCCATTGAGTCGTTATGAATGATTGTAAATAATAAGAAGATGTAACCCGTAGGAAGGTCGACATATTGCAAAGCAGGAGGGACGTCTTTTATGAGCTGAAAATGTTAGCTCGCGTCAAGATTCCCCTCCCGCCCCAACCCTTGCATAACACTTCCACGTGTCGTCGTAATTAACACAATGTCATGCACAGGAAAAACTGAAACCGTCATATCTCAACATCTAAAGTAAGCCTACCCAAAAACGTTGCTCAACGCGCTCCCTCGCATCCTTCATTATTATTCAATACTTCATTGCGCCCTACCTCCATCAAACAACAGCACCGGTATGCAATCTAATGAAGACCTCCCACTCACCATGGATGGTATCGTTGAAATACGCACCCCAGTGAGTCTCGCTGTACAAGAGATACACGTCCCGCTGTCGAAGAGATACGCTCGAGCTAACAGTCAATGCAGCCTTCCGTGCATACTCGCGGAGGCACAACAGACTATCATTACGAAGTCAATGCAGTGCACCCCTTTATCAGTGATTGTCACTCTCCTTTCAATCTTTCGTCTACACGGATCGCCCCTCTCGACACTGGCGTAACCATAGCTTTTTCTGGTACTGTCTTTGTCAGCCAATACCAGGCCAATCTGATCGTCAACGTCAACAGTGGTGTCTTAGCTCCGGTGCCTATGCCATCCGAAGCATTCCCGTATAGCCCCAATCTCATCAATGTCTCGGGGCGAGGTCGAATCACGCAGCGACACCCAATTAGACTAGATCAAAACACAAACCAATGGTGGCTTCTTATATTAACACACACCGCATTCATTAGCAGCGTAAGTCTGTTCTCATGTTCTCTATGTGATTTCTGCTCATACCTACCTTCAGCTTGATAGATTCGTCAAGTTTGAGATACACTACGTTGATAATCAAGAACATATCGCCCAAATGAGAGGTCTGCATTGCGAACCTGGAGCAACCGTCTCGTTGGAGGGCATACTCATCACATACGCCCAAGATGCCAGAGTTTGGATCGCCATGGTAAAACGCAAACCCTCTCATGCTCCAATACTTGACGCTGACACTGCCCTTAATTACAGACTACGAATATCATCTTGTAAAACCGAAGACACCACCGCATTTTTCCCGTTCTCAAAATACTAATATCACCTATATATGGTTCTGCTTTCCACAGGCCAGCGTCAGAAAGAGTCACAACTACGTTGAGCAACGCCGCGCCACGCTGGCAAGTTGTTAAACCGACTGTAACGATATCATAAAATGTATAACATAACCAGATTCGTATCAATATTGAAATTTGTAAACACACTCCAATGTTATGTGAGGCAAAACTTATTGATTCTGTACTCCCCATGCCTGGTCAGGTAATCTATTAAAATTATATAACCTTCACGAAAAATGCGCTCCCACGTGCTCAAGGATCACACTTAACCCCATCACATAATGCAATTTACCGTGACCATTACATACCACCTTAAGCAATATTCTCCCTACAACGCGCGTTCCCAGTTACTCCTGCCCTTAAAGCGATACAGCGCCTATACCCACTAAGGCAAGGGTTAATCTTACAACATTGATCGCCTACCTTGGGCCAATCCCACGATGGTAGAACATCGACTGCTCGCCGTCCGTGTGAGTGAAACCTACCCACGTGCCATCATAAGCCGACACGCCTGCAAACTGTATCTATTCCAGGCCTAAACATAGCGCTACGCCCGTACCTCATTTCAAGCCCATACAACGTACTTTCAGGATCGTTCGATTGTAAATTTGCCACAACGCAACTGCCTCGACGGGTGAGAGCAGTCTACCCACCGCCCCAATTTAAACCAGTTGAGTTAGGACCACGTACAAATTTTGCAAGCCGCATTACGTGTTGGCCTGGTAAATCAACCAGCCTGATCCATCACCACGCTTACGAAAGACTATCAATTCAACCTGCCGAACGCCCCAGACTACCTCGACCGCTCAGCACGCGACTGCCACTACCGATAACCCCACATACGTGGTGGTTATAAAACCTCCTCATCCGTATGCCCATCTGCCGTGTCACTATCCCTCTGATTTTTATCATAAAACACCGCGTAAATACCCTGCATATCCACAATCTGTCAATTTCATACCCTAGCATAAAGACACCACACACCACCTCCAGACATCTACTATTGGCTCTGGCAGCCCTTTCCCTACGACATGTCCAACGCATCCCGACATTCCCACCCTGCCTACGCCTCCAATAACTTCGAAGTAACCGGCGAAGTACGTTCACAAATAGATTTGCTATGCCTCTCGCAATGCTGACACGCCATGTAGCATGGTAACACTCTCACTGCCCAATCCGGCTTCCGTACAGTTGAATCAGGTATCAATTGCAGCGGCATAGGTACAGACGAAGCTGCGGAGCACGCCATTCTCCTAACTGCCTTCTCTGGATTAGGCGTTGGGCTCTCTGTGGGTGAAATGTATGGCCTCAAATGCAAAATAATCGCCCCAAATCTCCCTCGGCCTCCGTATTTCATACATGAAATGTCTCATCATGTCCACGTTGGCAACGCAGAAACTTTCCCCGGTAACTTAATAGACAACACTGCCATCAGTTCCACGGGCATTATAACCGAGAAACGCATCGAGATGGAAGTCGCCCACGGCGGTAAGCCAACTATCGTGTCTATCATCCGCCATACCGATTGGAACCCAATGGTAAAGTTTCTATCATTATAAGCTTCTCTTACTTCCGCTGACACCTTCCACAGACTTCGACCAACATAGAATTCAACATCGAGTACTGGTGCAGACCCGTCCGAAATTTACTGAAGACACAGAATCTATTTCAGCGGGGGCGCGAAGTTACCATCAACGGGTTCATCACAGGATATGATCGCACCCGCCACATGATCCAAGTCGATGTAAGCTATAACTGCCTTCGCACTTTAAATCCATATTGACTTTCCATTATCCAGATAATGGCTATCTCTGTTTGCAGTGGCCCAGAAAACATTAATAATTCCAACCCTGGCCCGGGTACTGCCGAATCTCGAACTACCCGTGGTGGCAGAGTTCGATTGCCCAGGTACGCTA